CGCGCCAGAAGTTCAGTGCGACGTACCTGCCGGAAATCGCACCGGAACAGGGCTGGGATAAGCGGGAGGCGGTAGATAGCGCGATCGAGAAAGCGGGATGGAATGGCACGATCACAGAGGATCTGCGTCGGAGCATCAAGTTGCAACGGTACCAGTCACGCAAGCACAGTGTGACATGGGCCGAATACATTGGTTGGAGAAATCAGCAGAATGCGTAGATTGTATGTATGTATATAGCACTATTCCAGGTTGTGATGATTCGACACGCCGTCTGTAAACAGCGACTCCCGAATGCGGCGCAATCGGTGCCCCTTCCCGCCCCAGTTCTCTCCGAATCGGTCCTCGAGACGAGTCCAGACTGAACGCAGGAGCGCAAGATCTCGGTTACTCGTCTTGTCAAACGCAGTGAGAACCCAGTACAGGACAGACACATTCGGCTTCACGTGTTCCGGCAGGGCCAAGAATACATCAAACATGGAATGCAGGCTGCTCAAGTCCCACGGCTGTGTCTCTTCTGCCGTAGATTCGACCACGCCGTGCCGCGAGAATCCCAAGAAAATGGCCCGGAAAACGGGGAGCGTGGGCGAGTAAACCACAGGCTGTAGTTTACCAAACTCGTCTCTGTAGATCCGAGCGCCGATCTCCGAATTCTGAGAGGACAACATGTCTTGAAAGGCAGTGAGCGCAGTCTTGAGATCGCCGTGGTAGGCGGCGACTTGCACGACAGTCGTGTACGTCACTTCGTTGGGCACCATCGACTCAGGGATCTCGATCCCCTCATTCTGCAGGGACCGCCACACGATGAAGATATCGTCGATCCCCACCAGGGTCTCGGCAACCATGTTGTGCCGCAGGACACGGTATATGTTCAGCGCCACCTCCATATAACCAAGGCGCGAGAATGCCCACATGCAGGCATTCAGCCCGTCGATCCCTAATTCTTGCTGCTGCTCTCGCAATTTGAGCAGACTCGCGCGCACGCCCGCAAGGTTTCCCTCGTTTGTATGATGTTTCAGCAGTGTAAGATGGGTGACCCGGCTCGGAGAGAGTCTCGATGCGGTCAGGAGGGATGTCGATTGTCGGACTGTGTCGCCGTGGCGAGTGTTCACAGCATGATTGATGAGTGTTGAGTAAGTATACACGTCGGGCAGGACATTCTGCTCGTGACCGCCTGCATCCTCATCATACCCCCAAGTCGCGCTGTATTCAGAGGACATAGTCGCGCCGGGCGCTCTCGCCGACACCATGTCCGTGAAGACGTCAAACGCGCGCTTGAAATCCTCTTGTCTCGCTTTCCGGAAGCCCTTCCCTGCAGTGTCGATCAGGATGTTCCACTGGTATCCCTCGATCGCCCACCCATTCCGGTGGATCGAGGTAAACACCGACAACATGCGGCCGAAAAGTTTGCGCGTCTTCGTCCCTTCTTGCGTCATCAGGCGCACGAGCCGGTTCAAGTGTCGGTGCGGAATGGAAAACGGAATGGACATGAGCGCGTTGTACGCCATCCAGCCTTGCGGGTACGATTGCGTGTTGCCCAAGACGCGCAGAAGGTCCCTCCTCCACGCGACTCTGTCGACACGCATACGCACGGACCGCTCGATGTCGAACAGCAACGGCAGATCGAGGTCGTCGAAAGGATCGTCGCAGCCCCCACCCAGACGGATGGTCTGCTGGAATTTGATGATTTTCGTGTGAATGATAGGGAGCGGCAGACGCTGCCAGGCTTTTCCGGTCGGGTACTTGGCGGCTTGCTGTGTAACAAGTTGGAAGCGAGAGGAGGAAAGGGAAAGCGGAAGAGGGGCAGGGTCGGGGAGGTGGAATCCACCAGGTCTTTTTCCAAGTTTGCTGGCAGCTGGTGAGACTGAGGTCGCCGGTGCCGGGGGTTCTGCGTCTTCTCCACGGGATACGCCAGTGCCCATCCGCTCTTGGTCGCTCGGACGAGCCGGCATTGAACGATATCTCCGGATCAGTACGGCACATGGCGGAGGAGGATGCGTATGCCGAACAGAGCGCGCTGGATGGAGGACAGTGCCCAGCGAAGAGGCTCTGCGCATCAACTAAAGTCATCCTGTAGCACACATACTCATCAGTGCGCGGACTGAGGAGAGAACTGGCAGGTTATACGTACAATCCCAGCGTGAAAATCACCCCCACAGTGGCCTTGGTTGCCTCCTGAGATTCTATTCACGTCGTGGGACGCGCCAGCAACTTTTTCCAGGAAGCGTATGTGTGTGACTGTTACACAAGCGTGATGCATCACGTGCCTTCGCGGGTCCTTCAAAATCCATCCCGACTTGAACTTTCAGGCAATTCCCAGGGAACTGATGATGCATAGCACATATGGAGTAGCAGAAAGATAGTGTGGACATGGCGTATGCATAGGTACAAACATCTACTGCGACTTGACCTTGAGAACACCAAGGAAGGCCGCCTTCTCCTCGAATGTCTGGAACGAACCGTGCTGCAAACAATCTTATTAGCCGTTTGCTGACGCATGTAGTCATTCAAGCTTACGCCGAACTTGGAAGAAGTGTCGATGAATTTTAGCTGGACCTTCTCGAGGTCACGGCGAGAGGTGTGGACCATGAGCGATTTACGGATGGTGATGACACGCTTCTTGGTACCGGGGATAGAGCCCTTGAGCATCAGGAAGTCGTTCTTGACGATACCGTAGTGGGGGAAACCACCCATAGGTGTGATAGACTTCTTGGTCACATCAGACTCTGTCGACGCATTGCCGTCATCGACACCAGAGCCAACACGGTAGATCTTCTTGTTGATCTCTGTTCGGTGGTGGTAACCGTCTGCAAACCAAGAGCAACTTAGCATATTAATCAGAGAGCGGCTGGTAGCACGCACTTTGACCGGCACGAGCAACCGAGAACATGACTTTGGAAGGATGCCATGCACCGATACAAGCGACCTTGCGGAGACCCTTGTGTGTCTTCCTCGGCAGCTTCTTCGTTCCCCAACGGTGTGTAACACCCTCAAATCCGTGACCCTTCGTAACAGCAATAACATCGACACACTCGTCCTGCTCGAACACCGACGAAACCTCGAAAGGCTTCTCGAACAGGCCCTGCGCAAACTCGACCTTGTCGGCGATGGAGCCTCCGTTGACCTGGATCTCCATAAGATGGGCCTTCTTCTGCGAGAGACCGGTCTTGCGGATCTGGGTGTGTGCGAGGACACGGACGACCGTGCAGTACTTGCGGATACGCTCGATCTCCCGGGCAGTGGACTTGCCGCTGTCCTCAGCATGCTTCTTGGCGTACCGGGTGAACGCCTTCTTCTTCGAGCGGTACCAGTTCTTGTAGAATCTCCTCTTGATTTCATCGGAAAGGTGGGAGGCCCAGACGGTGGTGAGAGTGCGCAGGCCACGGGGAGTCTCAACGTAACCAACAACACCAACGACAATCATGGGGGGAGTCTCGATGATAGAGACGGCCTCAACGATCTCCTTCTTGTGCATCTCTAAAGGGCCCATGGTTTGAACGATGACAATAACCAATGGCAGACTAACGTACTCGATCCAGGACGGTCAAGGTCACGAACAACGTGTGTCATACCAGCCTTGTAGCCCATAACAGCAGTCAAGTGCACCGGCTTCTTGGGGTCATCCTGCGCAAGTCGCGTTCAGAAACAATCGTCGTGATCATAATTCAAGGGAGACTTGCCTTGGGGAAGGACTTGACCTTTCCGCGGTGGCGCGCGGCACGCTTTTTGGGAAGGAAACCAAGAGAACCGTGACGGGGAGCTTCGAACTGAAAAAGTGGCTGTATGAGATGCGAGCCTTGAAATTGCGCAGATTTTACAGACCTTACGGTGACTGGAGAGAGTCCATCGCGTCAGTAGAGATCTGAAGAATAGTGAGAGACGACTGACCTCATCTTGAAGGAGCACGACGGCAAACGGGAGAAATTACAGAGGGGACAGAGATCAGATGATGCTGACTAATGAGATGTACAGTCACATAACCTGTGACGGTGCAAGATCAGATTCGTGACCGCGCATGATAAGAAGATGCGAGGCAGTCATTGCCTTGCTTGTCAAGGCTTCTCCACCCTCATAATTGGCTTGATTTCGTCGGACCCGGCTTCCCCCGCTGTTCCGTTCCTCTCCGTGTTTTTCCTGTCGGTCTCGAGTTCGACCCGTCGTAGTTGCCCGTATTAAAGAAAAAATTAGAATTAATTTGATATCAAATAGCAAGGCAGAATGTCGGCGGAGCCGACGCTTTCTAGTTAGTAAACCAGCCCCATATCTGTAACTGGAACCAGGTTCAACTGACGTTTGCCCGAGTACACTTTCCCGTGAGTCATGAAACGACCGATTGATGACTTGACCTGAACAGCCCTTGTCTACGGTCTGCCTCACACAATGTTGGCACTGATCGTAGGAGTTCGAATTGGATAGTACATACATATTTCGCCTGAATCCAGCCGATGTACTAATTTAAAAACCACCAATCCGTTTTTTGACCTTCTTTTTGATGGCTGGCCGCCCGCCAAATGCCCCGGGCAAGATCTGTGTGCTGGCCATCATCTCCTGAGACTGGGACCGGTCCTTGTCGATTTCCATGGGCTGACTGCCGGAAACCAGTGGAGGTCGCCGTTGCACTGCCAGATCTTGCAGCATCGGCCGATCCTGAGAGAGGAATTTGTGTCGATTAGCCACTGGCTGGCTCAACCCAATCAAAGGAGGATGCGACTTGACATCCTGTGTAGGTCGAAAACGGCCCTTTGTAGGGTTATGGGACAGAGGAGCGTTGCCTGCGACGCTGAGTTCTTCATCGAAGTCTTTGAACAAGTGCTTTTTAGGGTCTGTACCCACATCCCAGTCCTTGAGCAGTGACCGGACTGAGGAAGGAACAATCTCCTCGCCGAACTTTCCTGTCACTACTGCCTCTGGATGCACCACTGGACGAAGGAAGGCGAATTTGAATTGGGCCGGCTCGTCGGCGAGAGACATGACTGCCGTCATAGTTTCCAGTTCTTGATCGGCCTCTTCAGCGGTGTGGAACGGCCGTGACGAATAGATATTCCGGGCCAGGGAGAGATCGAGGGCTAGCTGTTCTCTTGCCCTTGTCTCACGCCTCAAAGAGCTGGCCGCTCGGTCCGAGTCGGAAATAGGGTCGGATTGCCGCAAGTTGTCGACGAAGGAGTGAGGGTCGGCTACATAAGTGTGATCGAATGCCCTCAATGTTTCCAAGTGATCATGAGTCCATTTTGAGCTGCCCTGGAGAGTACTGGATGAAAGCCGGCCCTGAAGCAACGCGTGATAAGCCCGTTCTGAATCAATGACTGTCTCAGTGAGAAAGTCAGACCGAGCGACCTGAGCAGGCTTCTCTCCGGATTGAAATAGCAGATCGAACCTGCAAGTATTGAGCCAGGATCTACACGGAGGGAAATGAAGATACGCACGTGGTTCGGATTCCATTGTCCCGTTCGTTTGTCTCTTCCTGAGACAAGGTCGGCGCTTTTTCAATCATGTCATACAGAGCCTCTGCCGATTCTTCTAGTTCGTCTTCATCCTTGGGATAAAATATCTCTACACAGAGTAGATGAGCGCAAGTTTGGATCGAAGTAAAATCACACACTCTCGTAAGCTGGAGATAAATCGATGAGAGTGGGCTGATGAGCGCCTAGTCGAGTGGGTTCGTCCCGAAGTGCAGCTGACTCGGAGTGCAATCGACGGACATCTTCAGACCAATCCACCTTGAGTTCGACGGGATGCTTGTCCGTGATTTGCCAGCCGTGGATAGCACCCAAATCAGACAATCGCAGAAATTTGACATCAGAATCGCTCTTCAGGAAGATCTGCCCGATTTGCTTGCCGGGAACAGTAGCTGATAGACAAAACGGCGAGTCATTCGCACTAATAAGACCGGCGTTGGAAACATCGTAGATCGTGACCAAACCGTTGTCCTTCGAAGATAGGGTGGTATAATGTTCTTCACATCTCATGAGACCAAGGAAAAGACCATGACCCATTGTGCGTACTGTTTCCGATTGTGATGGTTTTAGCTTCTAACGTCCGATCATACGAGCGATGATGCTTATAGGCGAGGACAGGCTGTGAAGCCTTGCGACGATCGAACCAGGTGAGATGTGAAGTTGAGCACAGACGCAACAGGTGGTCCTGTGTACAGTCTTCGACAGAAGTGTATGTTTCCCCGAAAGCGATGTCCAAAACAGATTGTCGAGACTGATCGATGTGAGTAGCGCCGCAAAGAGCTGTAGGCGACAACGATTCACCCTCAAGTCAAGTTCTCTAAGGTTCTCCTTGCACAGGAGCCAACATGCATCCGATCGATCGGTTAGTTCGAGCCTCCAGAATGGATCGCTTGGATTCGCATCATTCAAGATATGGTCGACGATTCTGCGGCGCGTAAGCTACGGCAGTCGGTCTCAAATGCGAATTTACGTAGTATTTGCATCCCAATTGCAGTGATAAACTTGTCCGCAGCGGTTCACGAGGAGCAGGTTCGATTCAGGTAGATGCTTGACATCGACTGCGGGCTTGCCACCAATCTGGGCGGAGGATATGGATGCAAATTCTTGCACCCGTAGCTTGCTAGTATCGCCGAGCCCACGTAATTTGAGCAGAGAGGTCGCCCCGAACGTACGAACACTGAGATAGGATGAAGCTAGAATGGTTGTCAATTCTATGGGATGAGATGTAACAACCACAGTACATTGCGTATTCCCTTCACTTGGCTTGGAAGCGGATATCTGCTGAATCGGCGTGTCAAAGGTTCTTACTGACTGAGCAGCAGGTCCAAAGATCTGAGATTCATCGGTTGTCCAGGGGGAGATGTCTGAGTTTGGATGAGATCAAAGCCGGTGATATCAAGTGTACTCACTGAGATCACAGCCAAGTTCACCCATGGGAAACGCAAGGTGCAAATTGCGTGCTGAGACAACTTCAGGCCCTTCGACCCCAACAACCTCCAGTCTGTTCCCCGCAAAGGCATCGAATGCTTGAGAATCGCGTTGGAAGTTGGCATCGTTTGTGAGTTCGTCGCGGATCAGTTCAGCCGGTATTTCAAGATCAGGGAGAAAAGTCTGAAGATAATGGGCCTGTATACGTGTCGGTGTCAAAACGACGGATATATTGCCGAGTGGAGAACATACGCCTTGTTCTGCACGGTGACGGACTGAGATTTCCGGTACTGCGAGGGGCGGCGCACGCGTCGCGGGAAACATGACAGCTGGCTTGCTAATGCTAAGCCTTTCCTGTGCTTCACGGATTTGAGAGGCCTGCTCGAAAGAGTACGACGCGCGCAATTACCTTGCGTTGCATTGGTACCAAGAAATGACCAATCGAATCGACCAGAGTGCTCTAATAAGGTAGCGGAGGTCTTCGCGCCGTGACTCAAGATGGGATATGCTTTCTCTTTGCTCTTGAAATTCGGTCCGACAGGCCAGGAATCCATTCCATTTAAGATGTTCGATAATGAGTGAGGCTGAAGGCTGGGAGAAGATAGAAAATGATGGCATCATCGTGACAGATTAGATTATAGATTCTGTTGCATTCATTTCATCTACACAGCGGATACACCTAGGCATACCGTACCAGCACATTTTCGTGCTCACGAAGAGTTGTGGCTCGAATACTTGTGCACGCACTCGAAGAACCATCGTACGTCCTCAGGATCAACGGCGGGAGTGATTCCATGACCGAGGTTTGCGATCCAGGCCTGGGTGTTTCCCTCGACCGCAAACCTCGCACACATCCGCTTGACAGCCTTTTCAATTGCGACGCGACCGCCATAAAGCAAGCTCGGATCCATGTTCCCTTGGAGCGCAACCTTGCCCTTCACAAGTCTCCGAGCCTCAGCAGGATCGATCGCCCAGTCCAACCCCAGCGTGTCGTAGCCCGAGTTCTCAGCCAACGAAGCGAGAGCGTAGTTGGAGCCCTTGGCAAAGAGCGTCATTGGAACGGCGGGTATGTTCTCTTCAGCTAGCCGCTTGCGGACATTTGTAGAGATGTGTACCAAGGATGGGAAAGAGAACTCGTCGAAATCGTCGGGGGACAGTTCCCCTGCGACGGAATCGAATACTTGCAGAATCTAGATCGAGGTTTCGCCGTTGGTAATAGTCACGAAAATAGCACCAAAAACTCACCTGTGCCCCGGCTTTAACCTGACCGACGAGATAGTCTACGCATATATCCGCGATGCGCATAAGCAATGCCTTGGATTCTTCCGGGTACTTGTACAACCACGTCTTGCTCTTCTGGTGCGTCTTGCTGCCGCCACCCTCAATCATGTACATGAACAGCGTCCAGGGGGCGCCACAGAAGCCGATCAGCGGCACTTCCCCCGCGAGTGCGATGCGCGTTTGAGTTAGCGCCTCAAAGACGTACCCGAGCTCCTTGTCGACGTCCACAACCGTTCGGAGTTTGCTCACGTCCGCGGGTGTGTTCAAAGGATCCGGAAACTCGGGGCCTGGGTTCATGAGGACCTCCATACCCATGGCCTGCGGAATGACCAAGATGTCCGAAAAGATGATCGCGGCGTCAATGAGACCGGTGAATCGGCGGATCGGCTGAAGAGTAATCTCAGTTGCGAGGGCGGGCGTTCTGCAGATGTCGAAGAAGGCATGATCCTTGCGCAACTCGCGGAACTCTGGAGGATCGTCTTCAGTTCCAGGTCACACAAAACCGGCTGGTGGAATGAGACCTGGGAGATAACGACCTGCTTGACGCATGATCCATACCGGCGCGCGCTCAGTTTTTTCACCTGCGTGTTCCGATGAGTGCCTTCGACGATGAGCGTATTGAGTAATGGATGCAACGTACCTCGGGCCGCACGTAACAGCAGATCGTTCTTCAAAGGTGGAAATTGGGGTGCCATCTTAGTCGTGATGGATGTAGCAAGGTGAGCTGAGGCACACGCAGTAGGGAGGCGATGGAATAGGATACCCAAATCGCTCAAAGGTGAGGGAGGAAGGATGAGCGACGCGTCGAGCCGATCCAGAAATTTAGCATGCCATCGATCAGATTCGCGTCAACGGACGATCGTTGCCGGCCTCGGCTATCGAGGTCTCTCTTTACCCATGGCCATCACAGACCCCGCAGAGCTCGTGGAAGAGTCGGTCGCTCCCAAGCCTACATAGGCTTGCTTATACCCGGTCTCACCATCACGTCGCACAGAATAAAAAAGTCTGGCGAGTTTGACAAGTGGCGGCGCGAACTCATCGCTAGTGCTCAACGCTCTGTTTGTTCCCTTGACTTTTGAGGCGGCACACTTGGCTTAGTCTCTGTTGAAGACTGGATATGATGCGTTCAAGACTCGTGTTGAAGAGATCGCTCGTCAACGACTCGACTCCGGACAGCTCGCGAACACATCGCAGAACATGATCGTCAAGGTACTTCCTGTGATTGGACGCGTCCATTTCGAGTGGTCACGATTACTTGAAGGAACTTGTGCAGGAGGTGAATCGGTGAGCACCGTTCCTGATCTCGAGCCAGGGCTGACTGCTCCCTTATGAAGTTTCCCCATCATCGACCGCTTCGCTGGAGAAGTTCCCTTGCTTGCGGATGATCAGTTCAAGATGGGAGTCCGCAGTTCTCTTGAACGCATCCTCCGCAACGCCGATCCATCGCAAGGCAGCCCAGAAAAACACGATGCTCCATCCCAACCATCACTCCCCCTTGCCGCCGATGACCACCGCTCTTCTGACTCGTCGACTTTGAATCCCGCTTCTGCGCCACAAGACGTTCATAAGAATCATAACAGCCAAATTGATCCATAATTCACTGGCAAAGTAAAATACATACAATTGCTTGGATATCATAAATAACCGACGCTCATTTAAACAAGAAGGAAGGAAGCTCCCGAGTTTATTCTGCTTGGATGAGTTCCAACGCTTTCTCTGAGCGAGGCTTGATTGAGCAGCGGAAGGGAACCGGATGACTGCAAACAAGGTTGAGCACTTCAACTGAACGCCCGAAGCGTTTTCCGCGTCGTACCTGATAGTTCCTGTTGTGTTCTTATGTTCCGGCAAGACAACCTTGCCATTCTCGACGCATGCCGCGATGTCGAACACTGCCAAAGACATCGCACATGTGATGAATAATGAAGCGTCGGCGAGATGCATTCCCGGGCAGATTCTACAGCGAGATTTAGGGTCAAATCTTCCCTAATAGGAGAGCCTGGCAACCAACGCACCGACGGCCAAAGCCAAAAGAAAAGTTGCGCGGATCGGGCTCTGCGGCCTTTTCCTTGGTAGCAATGAAGCGTTCAGGCCTGAAGGCCGTTGGATCGGGGTAAACTCGCGGGTCGTGTGTGAGTCGGTGGATGTTCGTGATGATGAGAGCGCCCTTGGGGATGAAGTGCCCGTTGTACACATCGTCACGCATGGCGCGGTGGGGCACGCCCGTAGGAACGACTGAATGCCAGCGGAGCACCTGTCCAACTGTCAGTTGGATTGAGGATAAAGGACGCGACGCACCTCTTTGACAAGAGCATCTACATAAGGCAGATCATCTCGGTCCCGAAAGGCCGGCAGTCTATCCTGATCCACAACTTTGTCAATTTCCTGCTGTGCCTTGAGGACCACAGTCGGATTGAGTGCCATGGCGAGAAAAAAGGCATAGATCGCAGACACTGTCTTGAACGGAGTTGGATGGTGCAGCTCAATTGACCCAATCGGTACATACCGTGTCGGCACCGCCTAGAAATCTCATTTCAGCTTCCTGTATGCTTTTTTCCAACCTCCATGCAAACTCACCACTATACAAAGACGCGGACGCCCATTTGATATCGAACTCGTCGTCCTCGCTCAGAACCTTGGACTCCAGAAAAGTGGACGTAAATGACACCGGTGCCGTACCCGAGGCCTGGATTGTCCGAAAAGCTTTGTCGCGACGTTCACGGAAAGAAAGGAAGGCACGAACCATCTGGTATTTGACAAAACTGTAAGGTTGTTCGACCATCTGGATCAGCGTCATCGCCCAAGCTTCGGCCTTGCTTCGCCAGCCTGTGAACGGAAACCATTTCGGGACGTGGCGCACTGCAAAAGACCTAATGAGCGTTCTGGACCGAACTTTGGGCTGTCATTACGCACAGGCTGGAACAAGATCGACCATGAATCCACCGGGGGCCGTCGAGAGCGAGAACTGCTCGGTCGCTTGCTCGGCCAGATGGACGAAAGGGTCGTTGTGTTCCTTGACCTCGTATCCGTGTGAGATGCGCAGAATGATCGATCCGGCGGTTCTACAGACCAGTTTGAGACTACGGAAAGCATATGAAGCGCGGGAACACACTTGCGGATGTGCTGTGATAGCTCGTCCGGTTTAGCGAGCACGCGACGAAGGAATTTCCGAGTCTCGAACTCCTCTACTGGAAAAAACTGGTGCATGGAGGCCCGGCTACCGATTATGCTGTGAAAGAGGCGTCGGAACCGTCGGAAGCGGTCGCCATATGGCAGCAATACTAGAGTGTTTCTCCAACCGACGAGTTCGCCACCTGGTGCAGCCAATCAGCCGATGCACCATATGATACAAGAACAGAACCCACCCATAGTGCAAACCTAGACGGTATCAGTGGCTGAGCGGGGTATTGAGATACCGGAACTCACGGGGCGATCAGAATAGTATGCGCTCCTCTTGTCCAATAGATCCATAGCGACCTGAGCCGAGCCGACGATAACCAGCGTTTTTCCGAAGACACTAACACTGCAAATATCACCTAGAAGCAGGGGTTTAAAACTTGAGAACGCGGTCAAAGCAATACATACCCCAGGTGTCGGACCACTTGGAGAAAGTAAGCCATTCCTGCTCCGAAGGCATATCGAGCACGTTCCCGATGAGGGGCAAGCCTTTAGGGCTGGACACCCTAATTCAGCGGACAGGTACATGGAAGAGGACAGCGAAATTACCCAGGCGGAAGGGCAGGCGCTGGAGATCGACGCGCCAACCAAGCACGTCGCAAGAGGAGCACCAGGCATAGGCAGGCACAGCCATCCAGCGCGAGGAGAAGGGAGCCGGGCATGGCGAGGAATTTTGAACGGGAGGGGAGGGTCGCACGGTCGAGATTCGGAGGGTAAACGCACTTTATGGCAACCCATGTTTGTTGGTTGGGCTAGGGCCAGCCAATCGTGGTTCTTCGCAAAAGCGTTTGAAGTTGCGAAGAAGGCCGAGGCAATCGCCGCGCTGTCGACAGGGAATCCCGATCCAGCAATAGGTTTGCATTACGAGATTCGTTTCTGAGCGCATGCGGGTGAGAAAGAGAGCTGCTCCGATACACATGGCAGACGTAATGCCCCGCCAGCGTCAGCTAATGTCCGCTCTGGTGGCCAGTGAGTCCCTGGCCTAGATTCCGTGAGAGAGAGTGCGCGATTTGGTGAAAAAACGTGGAGGTCAAGAGAAAGTTCTGATCTGGTGGGCATGTCTTGCCTGGGTTCAGAAGGTGTCGACTTGGACAGGGCAATGTCGGATTCGGTGCCATTCCCCGGCACGCTGCAGACTGAGGAGCCTCTGTGAGGTAAAGCTCGACACGAGGCGCGAGACGCGGCTCGTCTGCTTTTGGGATACAAAAATACAGCAGTAAGTACAGACAGTCAATGTTCGTCCCCAGTTCTTCCACGATACTTATATACAGCAGATATCAACCCGGTTTTCCATTACATCCCTAGCTCCTCCTCGAGCTCCTGCGATTTTTCAGCGGTGCTGCATGACTGCTGTGAAAAGCAAAGATTCAGTAAAAAGGAAGTCGAAGCGGTACAGTTTGACCTACTTCCGACCGATGCTCAGCTTCCACTTCGTGTGACGTGTCGATTTTGATGGAAATCGTTGGCGGCTGCGATAATGCATTCAGCTCGAGTAGCTCTCGCGACTGTGGAGAAACCCGACCTTGACGGCGCTCGAGATCTGACGCTTGGACAATTCGAGGGAGTACGTGTTGTCTTCAGGATCGTCGGCGGCCGCTCGAATGTCCTTGGGAAGGGTATATGAGCCCATGGCGTGATGCGGACAGCGCGGAGAGAATGTACTTGTCTGAGATTGAGCGTAGATAGCACCGTATTGAAATAGAGCCGTCCAAGGCTGAAGTAGAAAGCAACATAAATCAAAGTGTTGCCCCACGCCAAGATCTAGGTCAGTTAGCCATAGCGGAAGCAGAATCAAGGTGGCACTGACCGAGATCAGCGAGGCTAAGGCACAGACACTGGTCAGCAGCCCAGTGCTGACAGCAAAAGTGATCAGCTTGGAGATCATCGTATCCGATCTATGCATGTCGAGATCACTACACAGACTCGTGGAATCAGAATCGAGGCCCACTTTCTGAAACCCGTCCGAGAGCGCCGCAGATAGTGAACGAGGATGACAGCGATTGTAAAATCTGAGACAGCTCCCAAGACGTTAACGGACATCGATAGTCCCTGAGAACGGTGAGAAATGCGCTAACTTCAGCCGCGATTGAGACGTACCTTGAGTTGACTTAGTTGTGCCCAAGTGTGCAATTGCATGCTATCAGGATCATAATCGGAACGGGAGCGGAAACAAGCAGGACAGGCGGACGAACGACTGGACGGTGAATGCTATCCGAGGGGAGAAACGTCAGAGACTGTGACTGACCGCTCCGAGGACCGAGTCTTACCCACAGAACAGATGAACTCGGCGAGCACCAGCGACGCCTAGTTGAGTGTAAGTTAAACGTTGTTGAAGGCATCGAGAGCCTACCGCAAGAATGGTGAGCCACAGATTGCCATTGCTTAATCGCCAGACCCTCATGGTCAGAAACCTAGGCCCTGTCAAACAGCCGCTGAGAGCGCCGCCTGAATCCGCCGCTCACCCTTGGACGATGAGGCCAATGAGGCCCTAAGGTATGCTCAATGAAGATCTGGTGTTGGTGGTGCGGACGTACATTGAACAAAACTTCGAGCTTGGGGAAATAGATGAACAAGCGAACAGATGTGTCGGTCGTGCCCTTACCAGGATACTCCTGAGCAAAATGTCAATGAATGAAAAGGTACGATAATGTAGAACACACCAAACGAGATTTCCTAGCTCCTCTGGGTTGTTGAAATTCGATACAATATAGTAATACACTGGTGGGGCGAGCATAAGCGGTAGGCAGCATCGACCAAGCAAGGAATACGGACCAGTATGAGAAATGAGCGCTTGATGGACAGAGTCGAACGCGAAGACCACTCCAACCTAGAAATCCGCGACGTTGAGAGCCGATATGAAGAGGAACGCGGATAAAACTTGCAAGAACTCTGAGATACCTAAAGACGCGTGTGTGTCAACAATAATCTTGAATACGCAACGGAAGATGGGCGGCATACAACACGTCTTTGGACCCGTATCGATTGTAGTAATACCACGTCTGAACGCAAGACACTTCCGACGCTGTCAGAACGCGAAGAGACGGAGAAAGAAGAAACACAGCAGACCTCCATATAACCTGAACGCACCGCGACAAGTCGAATGAGAGAGCGCCAAAGGTTTGTTTGCCTCGACCGACTCACACAGCGGCCCCGATGACGCCGACGAGGGCTGAGCCCATGGTGTTGTCGATAGTCATGGTGGTGGGAGGATGAAGATGACGCGAGGGAGAGAGAGCCACAGGCCGGGTCGAAGACGAAGGAAGGACGCAGGGAGCCACAGACAGTAACTCGGGTCGGAGAAGTTTTTAAGAGCGAGAATCGTAGCTTCGAAGGCAGCGGCTGATTGGTTATGATGCGTAAGACCTCGAAGTGGGTGCCTGCGTGGGATGATGCAACTTTCGAAAACAGAAGGACGCATGCGGCTAGGTTCGTCCTGCTGCACTTCGATGCGCGAAACAGGTGCCCGAGCACGAGGGAAAACGAACTTTAGAAGAACTGGGATAGACCCGAGAGAGAGCCAATGGGCCTCAGGCTGAGTGGTGCAAACGTAAGTGCCTCGCGCTGCTTCCTTCTCCTTCCGAATTAAACTCGGAATCGGCAATCCCGCCGTTCTCGAGTCTCAACCTCCAGCTCTCCGCTTCCGGCCAATCCTCAGTTTTGCCGCCATCGATCGCCGTCTGCACGCGGTACTGGAAGCCAGGAAGGGGCGGCGGGCAGAGATTTTCACAACGGAAGGCTGGTCTACCATTCCACAATTGCATTGAGATGTAACTTGCCGACCATTATTGCATGAGACTAATTTTGAGTCTTTCAGTGAGAAATCTCAGGAAAGTTCCCGCCCCCCTCGCATTCAAAGACACCTGCAATTTCGAGAGATGGCGCATTCCACCGCCGTAACTTCCTTCCACGTTCCATTTAGATCTTCGACAGAGAACAGCATAGAAATGCATCCGTGCCGTAGCTAATACTGTAGGTCGTGATTAGCTTCCGGTGCTCGTGCTTGCTCGTGTGAATGGACTTGAAGCTTTATGATGCTCCTCCGGATCTGGACTGGGGAAACAGGTGTGAGAGAAAGTTGTTTCCCTCCGGTACAGCCACTTTCGAGCCAGAATCACATGATTGCGTACCCCTGTCTCCAAGTGTCTGTCGGGCCGGCCAACTCGAACTGGGGCGCACTTTGGGCTGGCGGTTTGTCTCGAGAACATTTGGAGTAAATGGATACCAGACTCTGCTCCCTTTGAAATGCCGTTGAAGAGGTTGCCAGTGGCACAGTGATGCCCGGGTCCTCCGGCGGACATCGAGCCATCTTTCGAAGGCGGATCTCGACGTTTGACTGGGGCTTGGTAACAGGCTAACAGCACAAAGTCTCAACCTGGAATTGTTCCAGAGTTCGGTCTCCATGTCCGAGAGTCTCCGCACTGACAGGGCTTGGTTGGGTGTGCATCAGACATCATCTGCTTCCCGTGTTTCGCAAATATGTGATGGAAGTCAAGTGGCCTCTTCCTCGTTAACCACCACCTTGGGAGCACTCAGAGAGTGATTTTCTACTTCGTCTGCAAGCTGGTCTAGTCCATTTCCACCTTCGCTTTCTTCTTTTCGGCTCTACACAATGTCTTTCGTTGCTCGAAGTGTGTTTTGGCGGATATATGCTACGACCGGAGGCCTCACAGCAGCGTGAACTAGATGAAACTGGTCCGGTCGTTTCCCTCGTCGAAGGAACTCAGGCGGAACTGGATCTGTTTCTGTTCCTCAACATGTGGCCCTCGCATTTCGGACTTCCGCTTCTCCTGGCTGTGGTTCTACTTTCGAAGCGTGTTCGCAGGCATCCGACGCTGATCAATCTCTGTGTCGGATTCGTTCTCATTGGCATGTGCGTGGTCGTCTCTACGCGCGGGAGTGCGCTCTTATTCCCTGCTATCCAGTTTCTCGTGTCTTCTGTGAGTCCCTGAGCGAGGTCGCGAGCCTGCGACTTGATCTGCTCCAGTCTCTACACGGGCCAGACGACGGGCCCCGAGCCATCCAAGCTGCTCTGTTTGACACAAGCTTCATTTCTCTATGTATGCGCTGGTTTTCTGTGCAATTTATGACCCTTGCTGACAGGTTACGCAGGGGATGCCTTCGTTGTCGGTGAAATCCATATTGAGTGCGCCCAGTCTAACGATGTCTTGTAGCGCGCCGTTCTTGGCTCTGATGCTTGTGCTTCAGGTATGTTTTAGTATCCGGCCCGTGATTGATTGGCCTGACTTGTGCTGTGTAGATGTTCCTGTCTGTGCGCGCCGCTGCCCGGAACGTGAAACTGGAACCCAACCCTGTCCGGGAATGGACGGTCTGTCTGTCTCGATACGGCACACGGGGGCACAACTGATGCGATCACCAGATGCTTGTGGCGCCATACATCGCTCTGGGCCTGACCATGATCGCCACTGCCATGGTGAGCTCCGCCACACGATGAATTGAGGTTGGCTCGAACACAGTCTAGATCGGGGCGTCTGATCTGAGTAGAGTGTCCCGCACTCGGCGATTTTTCTATTGCTCAGTAGCGTTCCCGGCATTGTACGTGTGGTCTTCTGGAGCGCATGGTCTCCCGTCTCAAGGCTCAACAGGTCAGGAACGATTACTATCGTCGCAGCAGTGCTCTTGATGGCCACCATCGTCCTCGAAGGTAGGCACATCGTTGTCCCGGATTCAGTGGGATTGACCACCTTAGTTTGGACGCTGGTGATCCTGTACAAGCTCTCGAAGAGGCAAGGAGACCGTCGATCCGCCTTCGAGTTCAACATGTCTGTCCGAGTCATGGTTTTCGGGCTTTATGTCATCGTGGCTATGGGCCTCAGCGTCATGAGTGTGGCCTCGGCCGACTCTAAGAGCCCACTGCCTGATTTGGTGATCGCCGGCGCCGCGACATTCATCCTCGGCATCTTCGGAACCCAGCGAGTGCGAATTTCGACGTTTCCGTCATTTCCCATTCAGCTCATCTAATGATTCATCAGGACATTTTGCTGGCACTGTGTTTCTGGCGGCCTTCGCCGCCTCCACTGGATTTCGAGAGTAGCCAGTTTCAGTCGGAGAAGTCTGCGACCTATTTGCCATGAGAAGATTTGGCCGTTTATTCGTTGTCATTTCACCCATTGTGTAATCGTAGTTCGACGTTTTTGCGAATGGAGAGGACCCTTCGAGTCGCATACTGAATAATCTTGATGCAAGTTCGAGGCAGAGGCCATACAGCCACACATGTACAAATGACATCAATTTTGATTCCAATTTCTGGTTTTCCCTCTGTTCTCCGTCACCTCCAGAACGCGCCTTTCTAGAATGGCAGTACGTTCCACCACCTCGCTCGCATTCACCATATTGACTGCATTGGTACACAGAGCCGTTGCTCCCCCCTCCTGCGCGCTGCGACGCGACCAAACTTCGTCCTCGGGTGCGTAGCTCAACTTTTCAGCACTCGTCCCGCGCACGAACCAGCCACACAGCTCCTCGCGGAACCCTATCTCCTCTCGATGGCTCGCAACCGCCACCGAAGCGGCCCCGAAATCCACCCCCCCTCCCCCGCCCGCCAAGGCGTCCGCCGACCCCACCGTCTCGCGACTCGTGAACGACATTGCGGGGCTGACGCTACTGCAGGCGTCTGACTTGGTCACACATCTCAAGGTGCGTGGCGGCCCTCCTACCGTCCCTGGACGAGCGACGCTGACGGTGTGCTGCTGCAGTCGCGGCTGAATATCCAGGAAGTCGCTATGCCCGTGGCTTCGGCCGCCGCACCTGCTGCTGCTGCTGCCGAGGCGGAGGAGGTTGCAGAGGTATGTGTCTCGTGATTCGGGGTGACTCGTCCATTCTAACCTCTCTACAGAAACCAAAAGAGAAGACCGTGTTCAACGTTGTTCTCGACTCGTTCGACGCGGCTGCTAAGCCCAAGATCATCCGTGAAGTCAAGGCGCTCGTCCCGAACTTGACGTTAATAGAGGTTCGTCGTGCTCGTATACTCACGGTACTCCGAATCTCATGCATGCACGCTTCACAGGCCAAGAAGTTTGTCGAGTCCCTGCCCAAGGTCCTCAAGGAAAATTTGGGCAAGGAGGACGCCGAGAAGATGAAGAAGGCCTTTGCGGACCTCGGTGCAGTGGTCAAGCTGGATTAATTTGACGTAGTGCATATCCATCCGCGAAATATATGAGTGAAGATACGATTTAGGAGTGGATTATGTTAGAGTCCTGGGACGCGAGAGCCATCGCAGTCAGTCCTCCGACAGATATCGGTACTCGAATCGGAAGTCGGACTTCTTACGCTGGCACCACGATCCCTCCCAGTCAAAGTAGACATAGATGCCTTGCTCGTACTCCTCAGTAATCGCCTGAGGCTCCGAGTGTCGCTGGAACCATGTCAAGTATTTGACATGGAATCGCCACGACTGGCGCTTCAGCTCCTTGGCCGCAAGGTACCTTGGGAATTCGCCGTCAGATTCACATGACAGGGGCGGAGCGGCCTGGACACCCACTGCTGATAGGTCCCGGGCAGATAATAGAACACGTAAAAGAGCGTCTCTACGTCAAGCTGCGAGAAGATTGCGGCAGTACTCAACAGGGGATGCGGCGATTGAGGATAATAGGCCTGTGTCGTGAACGGATTGCGAGGCACGTAGTATTTGGCCCTGAGTAAGCTCAGCACATCGGATAAGCCTGGACTTGCCCAACACACTTTTCGGTGTCCTGCGGTTGAGGGACGTTGGAATACCCGCCCTGGAGGATCTTGTGCACCTGATCGAGATTCGACATCCGTACTGCGGCTGTAAAAGGGACATGAGCCGGGGACAAGTGAGAGAATCCTGCACACCAACCCTTTTGCTTGACCCCCTCGAAAGACACCACGAGATCGGATAAAGACCCTGGGAAGGCACCAGCACTGGTCCGCGACGGTGCTGTTCCCACGGACTGCTCGCTCTGCGACATCTTGACCCCGGGAGGAAACTGAGGCGTAGACTGTAATCGATCTGATTAACCGTGTGAAGCAGAGTTGAGGAAACCGACCTGTCGAGGTATGGCAGCTGATGACGGTGGCTACAAAGAGATTCAGCAGCAGTCCCGGGAACGACTGACCAGTCCACGTACACTGGGAGAATGGGTATCTGCTCGTGATGGTGAGTCTACGAGTATGAGTGAGCGACATGTGCGTCCAAAGCTACAGCAGCCACACCATTGCGCGGTCTAGGGGGTGAGGAGGTTGCCGCTGGTCCCCCGAGAGAGCTTGGCACGCCTTCCGACAGCGCAGGAGACGAGAAATCCGGCTGATGAGAGACGGAGGCAGACGATGACAGCATCGGACTTGTCACGGAAGGATGAGTCAGACTGGGTGACGACAACGCTGTGTCGGTGGGCGGACTTGCTTGAGATCGCCCAGCGGAAGGCGACATGACAACAGGTGCTGGGGGTGCAGGTTGGGAGGAAGTAGAAGCATGCACATTGCTTCCTCCAGCCGCGGCAACGGAATACCGCACGGCTGGCAACGTGGCCTGTCTTGTTGGTGCTGGCGGAGGTGCCGGTGCCGGTGCCGGTGCCGAAGGCAGGCCAGCTTTCAAAATACTTGACATAGGTTGTTGCGCAAAATTTGGGTGCGGTGGAGGTTTGGATGGTGTAGCTGATGTCAATAAGTTTGGAACAACCGGAACGACAATTCGATATACCATCAATCGAGGATTCTGCGGCGGGCTCATCAATCTCGGAGACCACAGAAAAGATCTAGCACTCACTTCGAAGTTGTAGAGTGACTGCGGCCTTCTTTAATATTGGACTTTTGCTATTGGCAGCGCTTTCTTCGTCAATCTTCTTTGGCAACGGTCGAGGTGGGGGGAGATCTACAGGAAGTCATCAGGTCGTGTGACTTTGCCTGAGATCGGCAACAAACCTTCGCTAGCTTCATCAGAGTCGTCCGATTCATCGTCTTCAGCCGCTATGCCAAATTGTTCTTCCTCTTCGTCGAGATTGAGGTCGTCATAGATTCCATCATCTTCGCCGACGCCCTCCTCCGTATTGGTTTCAACATAGTACTGCACATCTTCTTTCAGCGACAGCACTTTGTCCGCCGAGAGAGATCCGTTATTCAAGAGCCGCAGAATGATTTCCAATCGTCCGATGTGGAATTTTCGTCGCTCGTTCAAGGTCTCCAGTTCGTCTAGTCGACTGGCCGCAGATCCCGACTTGTTCTTCTTCTTCCCTGTAACCTGCAGGGTCTCGATCTCCGCTTCTGCCTGTTCCACTTGCATCTGCAACTCCTCGACCTGACTTTGACACCAGGCTATCGTGTCCTCCTTCTCCTGCTCCTTCGGATCTAGCTTGGCCGCTTGTATAAGCCCTTCTTTCGAGAACGCCTTCGTCTTCATTTCCTTTTCTGTCGCCTTGAATCTCTCCATTTGCTAAGACACCGGAAGGGCAAGATGAGTGTATATTCATAACAGGACCGGAATTGTGAATAGCATGGAGTGCACGAGCACAATCCGTATGTAGACGCACCGTCTCTATTAGTTTCCGATTCTCCAGCAACTGACTCTTGTCTTTAATATCATTACTCGTCAGCCAGTTCTTGATCTGGTCTCGTAAACGTTGCAGTTTCTTGATTTGCGTCTTCAGTTCCAGCTCGAGTTTCTCTTTCTGAGGCTGTTGCCAAAGAATACTGAGTGCCCGAAAGGTTTTGCAGAAAGCAGAGGGGTAGAACCTGATTTGTCGATGCCTGCATTTTGTCGTATATGCTTTCGAATAGCTCGACGCCCTCCGAGACTTTCTTGAGGGTTCGGTCAATTTCGGCTAAGATAGCATATGAGAATCGAGCATTTCTGTGTCATAGGACAGACTTTGGAGTTTCCTGGCCGCCATTCCGTCGATGGTCAAGGACAATGAAGGGTGGCTTTGCCCTTACTTGGCTGCGCCCTCTGATGCATCAACAATCACTCGATTGGTCACGATGACACATCATAATCTTATCTTGCAAATCCGTGCGGCGTTGCATAACTCAACTCTTCACCTCGGCTACAAGTTCCTACGACGCCTTTGCGACGGGTTCGGTCTATGTTGCTCGGACCGTCGACTACGTTTAACGTTTGAAACAGGTCTATTCTCTTCGGTGGACGTGATTTAGCGTCTCATTAGTCAAATAGGTCGTGATGGCAGCGCTTCAAGACACAGTGCATGAGCTGCGTTCGCGCTTGGACCTCTTTAAAGCCAACCGGCCGGCGTTTCGTGATTCGTCATGTGTGTTGTGGTCCACGGATCATGGGAGGAAGGACTGGAGGGGCAGATGACCGTGTGATTGAAAGGAAACAACGAGATGATAGTGCAATTTCGATCTGATTTTTGAGTCATATGCTGCCGATGGCGACCAACAAAGCAGCGAGGGTAGGAGATGTCGACGTTTGAGGACATATGCCCATTGTAGCGTGCCTTGAGAGCCTATACATCTGCTCGATCTGCTGCCATCTTTGACGGATGAATGAACGTTAGATACGTGTGCTCTGAAGCAGTGCAGCCGATATACATAGTTGTTTGTCTCACTTCCTCTTCAAACTGTACTACTTGCACCGCCGGGGCGCTAATGAAAGGTCTCCGCAAGTCTCTCAACGGACACAAGGATGGTGGCGTGCGGGCTCAAATATCGACCCCCGTGCCCCTCCCCTCGGTTTCGCGACCCCCTGCCGCCATCATGCCGCCTCAGAAAGTGATTCGCGCTATGAGCGGCTACCGACCCCAGGCACCTCAAGAGCTCCCTTTCCAAAAGGGCGACTTCTTTCACGTCCTGCGCGATGAAGAGCAGGGGTCCTACTATGAGGCGCATAACCCCATCTCCGGCGCACGAGGACTAGTTCCCAAAGCCCTGTTCGAGGAATTTAACAAGGATTCGGCAGCGTCAGTCGTCATCAGCTCTTTCCTACGCGTGTTTCTTGCTCAATTTATACCTTTAGTACGCGCAACGTCAGTGCCCCTGGTCAGCGGGCCACCATAGGTCGGCCGCCAAGCCAAGCCAAACCGCCACTCAAATCCCAGGTCTTTTACGCTATCGTTCAGCACGATTTCTTCGCTGAGAGGGCAGACGAACTCGAGGCTAAGCGGGGAGATGCGATTACCGTCGTTGCGCAGTCAAATCGGGAGTGGTTCGTGGCTAAACCAATCGGACGGATTGGACGGCCTGGTCTGATCCCGGTGTCGTTTGTGGAGATCCACGATCCGTCGACGGGTCAGGCCATCCAAGATGTGAACTCGCTGATGGACCGTGGTGACTTGCCAAAGGTGGAGGATTGGAAAAAGGCGATGTTCAATTACAAGCAGAACAGCATCGCGCTGGGGGTCGTCGATGCCCCGCCTTCCTCATCATCCCCACGAGACTCTGCCCCGAGCAGTCCTTACTTGACGCAGAAAACGCAGATCGCACCCATATCCTCAGAAGCCACCATCGCCCCACCAGCATCCGAGCTGATGGACCCTTCCTCCACTGAAACAGCAGACATACAACCGGAAGGACTACTGCTGTCCGCTAACGTGGTTTCTTTCCATTTCGAGATGGAAGAGTACTGGTTCCGCATCGACGCCGTTTACCAGCCATATGCTGCCCCTGGTCGGGCACTCCCATCTGCCAAATCACTCATCCTGTTTCGCGTCTATAACGACTTTTACGATTTCCAAGTCTCTCTCTTGAACGAATTTCCTCGCGAAGCCGGGCGGAATCCACCGCACCCTCGAATTCTCCCATTCATGCCGGGCCCAGCTGAGGACGTCGACGATGCACTGACTGCAACGCGGCGAGCAGAGCTGGACGAGTATGTTATCGGTTTGCGGGATTTGAGCTCTGTGGGCGGCAGGTACGTTCTAGAGCATTCCATTGTGCGAGAGTTCCTCGCCATCAAGCCCGGAGACATGGAGACTGCGTTGCCGCCCCGAGTTGACGAACTCGAAGCAATCTTAGCTGCTGGGGAAGACGGCGACGATGAGTTGCAGGACTCTTTGGGAAGACTGCGGGTGGATGAAAGGCAGACTGTGCACAGTGATGGCTCGGATTACGAGGACGACAACTTCGGACAGAACCCGTACGGTCAACTGAGCGGCAGGCGGACCCCCGACAGCAGTCTGCGAGTTCAGGCGATGACCAACAATCACCGGCGAACAGGCTCGAACTCATCTCAGAACCAGCCTTACGGGCGATCGGACTCTATATCACCACCTCCGACTCGATGGGCCGAAGCATCGAACAACAACCGGCCAGTGATGCCGACGTCTCCATCTTCTTCATCTCTACACTCTAATTCCATGTCATCACGCTCCCGGTCAGGCTCCGTTGCCAACGCGAATTCGCCGTCGATATCAGCCGCTAATCCCCAAACCGCATTTGTGAAGATCAAAATATTCGACCGCGTGGCGGACGATCTCATTGCTATTCGAGTGCATCCACGCGTCACGCATATGGAGCTCATGGACAAGGTCCAGCATCGGTTGGGCGGCGAGGTTGCCCAGCTCAAATACCGACAAAGCTTGAGCAACGAGCTGGTCGAGCTGGGCAACGACCAGCAACTGCGTGCTTGGATAGACGGCACGGACAAACATGTGTTGTATGCCGAGTAGTTCAGGCTGGGACTCTTGGATTTCCTAACTATTTCGTTCTCTCATCTAGCCTTTGAGTCTTTATCCATTGCCGCATGTAATAGTAATGTTGCTTATATTCTGCGATCTGGTACACTTAGTTAGTTTGTATCCTTTACACGACTTAGAACCACAGTCATTCATCTGTATGTATCTCACCTTGCATCTGCAAGATGCGCTCGCCGTTGCAGGACCCCAAACAGGCATCAACACCGTCATCATTGCTTCCCTTCTCCTTCCATGCCGTCGTTGCAGCGATATTTGCGGAGCATCTACCGCGTCGGGTTCCGGGAGTGGTGGAGACAGCTGAATTATATTGGCGACGCCAAGTCCGGACGTTTCGTCGGAGCGGACCAGTTCGTTCAATGAACGTGTTTGCCCAATCTACTTGCTCACTGGAAGTTGCTCAGGTTCGGGAACAAGTACTACGAGAACTACAATGCTGAGGAAGAGGTTCCTGGTGCGTCCTCGCCGCTTATTCTAGCCTACGCCCAGATGTGAACCCCGCTCAGGTCGGCAGCGATGGGTAGACTTTGCTCAGGTGCGCGCCGCAGGAATCCTTCCTCCCGCTTCGCTTTTGACAGTATCCTCTTTCGCAGCATCACTACCACGCCTCCCAAGTCCCACCTGAGTGGCACTCGTGGATCTCGCATATCCGCAAGGACGCGCCGACGCAGGACGCGGTCATGATCTCGTCGGCTCAGCCATGGCAGCAAGTGCGCCGAGATTCTAGTCCATCTGTTTCTCTATTGCTCACGTTGTCTTTTTGCTTGTTTCTAGCCTTGGACGGAGAACCTCACTGGAACCCGAGGAGCATATAAACCCTACAACACTGTTGCTCCGAAAATCAACGCATGGGAACCCACGGTCACTCCGAGAGCATGATATTGCAGTCATTATGTACAATGCGGAGAGCCGTCACCGAATACTAGATGTGCCGAGCCCGAGGGAGTGCTCAACGACGTGCTCGGCAATGGCAAGCGAGGAGGTCAGCCCTGGGCTCTCGATGCCCAACAAACTAACCAGTGGGCCTCCTCTGGCAAAGTCCGTTCGGATTACGAAGTCTTGAAACCCGCCAGTCGGTCCTGCGAGCTTTGGTCGAAACCCGACGTAGTCTGGCTGCAGACCATCGAGGATGACTTTCGGAAGATATCGCGTCACGGCTTGATGCATCTCTTGCAGCTGGATGTTGTTTGCTGTGAGATGTTGTGACCAGAAGTCGGGACCTTCGCCGTCTTGTGGCGATAACCACTCCAGGTCAGGCCCGAATCTCACGTTTCCTTGTAGGTCGAGTGTGAGATGTGTCCCCAGAGATTGGAAGCCATGAGAGCTGCCTTGCGTATCCGGGCAGGGATAGATCAAGTGTGAGATTCCGGCCACACCTGGACCGCGGTATTTCGCGTAAGATCCTTTTGCAAAGTACATCTTCAACCGTTCCGATGGTGGAAGCAGTGTGTTCGTTATCAGCGGAGCGGAGAGGCCTGCGGCGTTCACCAGCGTCTTCACGAACAGCGAGTCGCTCGAGTCGCCGGTGATGACCTGTACCACCCAGCCGCATCTGTCTTCGTCCCTGTCCACGCGAACGACGTCGGACGAGTACGCCAGATCGCCGCCGGACTCTGTAATGTCTTTCTCGAGACTGCCCATGAACGCGTGCGAATCAATGATCCCCGTTTCCGGGGACCAGAGCGCACCGGATATCGAATCTGAGAGATTGGGTTCCATCTCACGCGCCTGGTCGCCAGATATGAGTGCCGTGGGAACGGCCGGCGCGTCCGGCTTCGCGGAGCGAGAGTCGGAAGGCCAGTGGCGGAGGCTCAGGGCCTTTTCGTGCAGCGCGGCGATGTAAGGCTGCTGCGCTTTCGTTGCAACGACCAGCTTGCCCAGTTTCCGGTGCGGGACGTTGTGTGCGTCGCAGTATGCGTAGAGCAGCTCGCGGCCCCGGATGCAGAGACGCGTTTTGAGCGAGTGGGGTGGATAGTACAGGCCTGCGATCGCTTGAGCTGCGAAAAGACGTGGAATATTCAGCAGGCACGCGCACCCGAGTGGATGACTTCGGAGTTGCGCGAACTAATCGAGGGGATGAATATTCACTAGAAAACCACGAGCGGAACGCGCTCACCTGGTCTCTTCGCCCTGTCCAATTCAATTGAGGGGAGATGGAGTAGGTTGAAAGCTTACTGCAACAGGATGACGCTCTACCACTATCGTCGACTTGTCAGGGAACTTTTGGCAGAGTTCGCGTCCAATGGCTAGTCCGACCACCCCTGCGAGCTGATGAGCTTGAACACCGCGAGAGCGGATGAGTTTCATACCAGCCCCCACAACGAGAAAGTCTACAGCGGATTCCGGTGCCTTGAATGCATGCTTGTGGTTGAGGCTGGATATGATCGCGCGAACGGACATCGGGTGGCTGTGAGATTAGCCATCAGCATCAGAACAGGCCGCAGTCAGGGCTTCGACCCGTTGTCCTTCCATTGTCTCTACTCGACAAACCTTGGACTAGCTTGGCTGCCGACCCGCCTGACAAAGAGCATCCGTAATCCGACACTCGCGACCGTTGGTCGCAGCTACAGTACCAGATACCCGCGGTCACGGACACCGCCAATGCAGGATACTATAGTCTGAGCGATCAACCCTTGCAGGGCAAAGGCTCAGCGGTCTATGCCAGTAAGCTTGCATGAGAATGCATCAGTCGTACGTCGGGTCTGCAGTCCGTCTGTCCTTTCGATCTTACGGTATGCGCATGTCTCTCATATCATCGCGATCTGCAGCTTGCATCTTTGCGAAGCACGATTTGATATTTCTGAAGCTTATCGTACTCCGGCTGTGCTCGCGGGGGCTCTGGGCATCTCGCCTGAGCATCCCTTATCCCAGTTTATCTCGTTTTTTGGCTGTCAAGTGATGTCTGGGCCGCCACACACCGCATGACTTCGAACAGGCAGTCCTTTGATTTCGGCGGCGCGGACGATCACAGACCCGACGAGCGCATGTTCTTATGACAAGCTCGTGGGGAAGCTTCCGCCATGGACAGATCTTCTATCCCAATGCATACCATTCGGCGACGAATCTGGATGTTTCGGCACAGGGACACGCTTATCCGTTGCACATCAACGTCGGGATGGGACGGGGCGGTGGATATAAAATGGCCTGCAGGTCGCACGGATTGATAGTATCCAGCACTCGCAGAGTACGCTCGGAGACCCTCCCCCTTCCACTCCAGGCATGCGTCTCTCTCTGGTCTTTGCACACCTTGCGGCGGTCATCGCGCTCTCTGGGGCGAACCCGTTGTTCTCCCGGGCAAACCTGGTCGTGCATGACAGCGTGAAACAGGTGCCGGCGGATTGGGCGAAGCACCCCAGCGCAGTCCCGGCCACCAAGCCACTCACCCTGCGTATTGCATTGGCAAGCTCGGACCGTGCCGGCCTGGAGAAGCTGACTTACTCTGTGTCCAATCCCTCGAGTGGATCTTACGGGCAGCATTTGACTCCCGCAGAGGTTCGTCGCTAGTCCAGGTGATCCTCCTCTGTGTAATATTAATCCTGTTTCCAGATCGCTGAGTACGTGAAACCGACCTCAGAGACGCTGGCCACAGTCGATGCTTGGCTTGCGTCCAACGGGCTGACAAGCAAACCGGTCACCAACGCTGGCGACATCATCGAGATCACGCTGCCTGTGAGCCAGGCCAACAGCCTCCTCGCCGCGAACTTCACCTCGTTCACGCATCTTCCGTCCGGGGAACTGAGCGTCCGCACGCTCAAGTACTCGGTGCCCGCTGTGCTGTCGAGCCAGATCAAGTACATCCACCCGACCGTCGCGTTCGTGCCCCCGATGAAGAACACACCCGAACTGGCTCCGGTCAAGCTGTCGCCCAAGAGCAGCAAGCGCGAAGTTGCGGAGGTTCCGACAAAACGCGCCACCGCACCAGCGTCCTGTGCCACCGCTGTCACTCCGGTGTGTCGTGTTTATATGTTGTCTCTTCCCTGAACCTTATGGCTGTCACAGGCCTGTCTGATCGACTTCTATGGCTTCCCGCTGGCACACGCAAACCACTCGGCCGTCAACAACACATTGGGTGTTGCTGGCTATATCCTCGTAAGCAGCGTACGTTCCCTGGCGAATCTTCCGCTTCTCACTCTCGGCGAGTAGCAATACGCCAACCATGTCGATCTTGACGTAAGCTCCTGCTTCTGTGCCTTGCTGCGGTTGATTTACCTTGGCCACAGAACTTTCTGTCCCTCCTCCGTCCCGACCAAATCGGCGCCAACTTCAGCCTCCTCACCATCGACGGTGGAATCAACGACCAGGACATCAAGTAGGGCCTGTTTTTTTTCTCCGCAAGTCAGTTGAAATCAATCCTCTCCCTCAGCAATGGCGGCATCGAAGCGGACTTGGATATCGAGATGGCTGTCGGAATGGCCGCCGGTGTTCCGGTCACTTTCATCTCGGTTGGGAACGACTTTGTGGACAATGTCAACGGGTTCATCGTCAGTCTTTTCGCCTTTTCGATTCTGCGACTGTCACTCATCCGGTCTGACTAGGACATCGTCAACGAGATCTTGTCGCTCCCGGCTGAGACCAGACCCACAGTTCTGACCACCAGCTATGGGTTCAACGAACCGGATCTGCCCGCTGAGCTGTCGATGTAAGAATTGTGTTCCTTGAGGTCATAGATCCTGAAACACGAGTCAGTGGCATGTGCGACGCTTACATGCAACTCGGTGCCGCTGGAATATCCGTGTTCTTTGCCTCAGGCGACGGTAGGTCATCTGCGCTGGATCCATTCTTTCGGGCGTTGTGCTAATGATATCTCAGGCGGTGTCAGCGGAATCCAGTCTCAATCCTGCACGACCTTCATTCCCACCGCTCCCTCCGGCTGTCCTTTGTCCGTCTCTCCTGTTCCATTGTTGCCAGCAGATTATCTCATTAGCCCACAGCGTGACTTCCGTCGGAGGCTCCACCGGCCTCCAGCCTCAGGTCGCAGCCTCTCTGAGTGGCGGTGGATTCTCCAACGTCTTCCCGGTTCCAGACTACCAGCTCAGCGTGGTCAGCTCCTACATCTCGTCCATCGGCACCCAATACGCAGGATTGTACAACACCTCAGGCCGTGGCATTCCGGACATTGCTGCTCAGGCAGAATCCGTCGAAATTGGCTGGGGTGCGTCGAACTCTTTTACGCTCTGCAATTGTCTGACTGACAGCGCATGCGAATAGTTGATGAGGTTCGCGTTGAGGCTTTCTTGTCCATTCATCAGGAGCTGACTTGGCTGCTAGTTCTGGCTTGTCAGCGGAACGTCCTGCGCGACGCCCATCTTTGCTAGCATGGTCTCGCTCGTCAACGATCGCCTCATCGCCGCAGGCCGACCTGTGCTCGGTTTCCTGAACCCATTCTTGTACAGCCCGGCCGGCAGAGCTGCCTTCACAGACGTCACTTCCGGCACCAACCCCGGATGCGGAACATCGTGCGCTCGTTTCTCACTCTGTCTGGCATCGATGCTGACCTTATTCGAAGCGGATTCTCGGCCTCGGTGGGATGGGATCCGCTCACCGGTCTTGGGACACCTAACTTTGATTTGTTCCTCGCTGCGGTGGGATTGTAGAGGATCTGTAATGTATAGTCGTGCAATGGGAAAATTGATCCATAGGCATGTAAGATTGGAAGCAGGACATAGATGAGATGTGGTAGGACATGGAAGATGCAAGTAAGGACAACATGGAAGTAGCGAGCAAGTACACGGTGTTGATCTCGGAACGACGATTTCAACATTTCAGACACATAGGATTGCCTCATTGAGGCGGGGGCGTCCTCGGTCCTGGCAGAAATGGTTATCGCGCTCGACCAGCTGCAGGTGCAAAGGCACGCACCGAAGAGCCCACTTCTCGGAGGCGGAGTGACCATCGCCCGGCCTGGTGCAACGGGCGCCGCCAGCAACGGATTCGCTGGACGCATGACAGGTAGCAATGAGCAGGGCGCAAATTCGAGTCCGTTCAAGGTCACGCACGTCTCCAGTTGGCCCAAGCAGGGAGATTGGGTGCCGGCGTCGGGGGCGGCATCGGGGCGGGTGTCGGTGCGGGTGGCGGGGCTGCCGCCGGTGGGGCTCGCACACGCCGTGCTCTCGGGACGTGTGGCGCGGAGACGGTGCGCCATCCGCCTGGTGCTGGGGCAGCTGGGGGCGGAGGCTCTATCATGGCCAATGGAGGAGACTCGATCGCCGGCGGCTATGGTGATTTGGAAGGTCAAGGTAGATGAGGGATAGGCGGAACAGGACTTCAGGGATATGATACACGGGATGGTCGAGTTTCAGCGTACGGGAGGCATCCATCCAGCGTAGATTCCTTCTGCACTGTGCTTCGCCTTGATGGCCATGAGCTCGGAGATCTCGCTGACGGTCGTTGATCAGGCGACGAAGCCAGGCAGGAAGCGGGGAGACGGACTACTGAAGCTCCCTCTTCTCATCGCGCAGCTTTCCCACCTCGCTGAGCAGGATCTTGACCTCGCCTGCGAGCGCCTTGCTGAAGTCCGTCATGTACCTGCGCTTGTCGGGATGTGTTATTGAGCGGGACGCGACCGGTTCGACGCACTTCGGGTTCGGGGGTTGCGACGAGCGGCCGCCGTTTGGCGTCGTCATTGCGGGTTGCGAAAGATAGTTGGAAGTACGAGATGGATCAGCAACAAGAGCCTGGAGTCGCGAGGCAGTGGCAGTGCTTCTTGACCCGTGGTTTCGATAAGGCGGAGATTGAGCTTATCTAGTATCGATATTGATTATCGCTGGCGGGTATATCCCTTGCTATACTTTGCCGCCGGCCCGTCAGCCTCGAATGAATTCATTTCCAACTTTTGCTGCTCACGGGACGCTCCCTCTTCATCCTTCCCAGACCCACTGGAATCGTAGGAATTGCGGTTCGTCGCAGCCGATGATGTCACCGGATCGAAATGAGGCGGCGATGCCAATATCAATGGCGGTGTCAGGTGCACAGGAACGTTGGCTGATGTGAGCTGCGGCGCTCCTTCCGAGCACCCAACGCCCTCCATGCACCCGACACGGGACGAACTCGAACTGGTATCGCAGCTCTTTGCCTCCGGGGAGCCCAAGACGCTCGACGCCATCACCGGGACCCACGCCCTGGCGCTGTTCGCGAACACAGGCCTTTCAGACGAGGTCCGCCGCACCCGGGATCCGGATTTGCGTAATGGATAACATGCATCTAGGTTCTGGGACAGATATGGTCCATTGCAGACAAGGACTCGAATGGACAGCTCTCGCGGGACGAGACTGGGGCGCTGCTGAGGCTGATGGGGTGGGCACAGGCGGGAGTGAAGCCCAGTCCTGATCTTTTGGAGAAGCGTGCGTCCGAGATGGGCTGCCCGGCGACGCAGGCTCACTTGTTTTGGATAGCCGGCCCTACAGCGCGTATTCCCTCCGTCTCCATCCCGGGACCTTCGAAGACACCCGCTCCCGTCCTCCCACCACTGACGCCAACAGACAAGGCAAAGTTTCTGAAGCTGTTCTATAGCAACGGACCAGTTGAAGGTTTTGTTAGTGGTCCGTGCTTGCTCTTTCGTGACGTGCATCTCCCTTATACTGGTCCGCAGGGGACAAAGCGAGAGAAGTCATGTCAAAATCCAAACTGCCCGTCGAGAAGCTTTCCAGGATCTGGTACGTGCGGTCTCACTACTGTTGCCCAAGCGTCGATGTACGAGCGCCGTAGGGATCTCTCAGACCGGACAACACGCGGTGCATTGGATTCGACGTCTTTCGTTGTGGCCATGTATCTCATCCAAGGGCTCATGAGCCATACTCTCTCCGCTCTTCCCGACACACTCCCGGATTGGCTGTTCGATCAGGCTTCTGCTGTGCCCCCGTCTCCATCCATTGTCATATCAACGACACCATCTCAAGATCCATTTGCGTCTCCGCACGACGAGACTCCAAGGAGCTGGGATATACCAGCCGAGATACGTGCCAATTCAGATCGCATATTTGATTCCCTGGATCCGCTGCGAACAGGTTTCGTGTCGGACAGTGTCACGCTTCCTCTGCTGTTGGAGTCGAAGCTTCCTCCAGATGAACTGGCGAAGATTTGGTGAGCATCGCGCACGCTTTTCCGTGCGCCTGCGATCTCATGTCGAGGAGGTCCCAGGCAGATATCCGCGGCGACGGCAAACTCACTCGAGAAGGGTTTGCGATTGCGCAGTTCTTGGTCAGGCAACGGTTGGGAAGCAATGCTCGAACAAAACCAATGCCGCCCGCGAAGCCGCCGAATCTCGTTGACCACCGACGTGTCCGATCCGCCTCGGCGGTGAATGCGCTGGACAAGCCTGTGCCTCCCCTGCCGACGGGTCGGCTGCTTACTCCGACACTGCAACCAGCACCATTCAGATATAGCACCGCACCGCCGCTTCCGGTTCGAGATGTTCAGGCTGGTCTCCCAAGGCGATCGTCATTCGTGCTGTATCCCACGCTCCCAACACAGTCAAGCGACGCTCTCCCCATGCGACCCGATCGCGCAGAGGGTGAGGATCGATCTGTTCTCGTAGAATTCCGCTCTGAATGTTCGAAGCCGAAGCTGCGATCGCGCGACTGAATCGGCAATTGCGAGACATGCAAGACTCGATCACACAGCTGCGCGAGACGGCGGCGCAGAAGACGGCCATGGTGACAACCGTCACGCAAGAGAACGAGTCTCTCCGGGTTGTTATCGAGGAGTTGCAGGTGCAGCTGGTCAACAACGAGCGCGATACGCATCAAGTTCTCAATCAAGTCCTCGGCAAGGAAAACGACGCACTGCGGAAGGCTCTCAACACCGCCGAGAAGGAGCTTAAACAGCTTCAATCGGCGAGTTCCGATATAGAGATGCAGCGAATCCAGTACGAAGATCTTGTACGAGAAAACGAGCGCCTGTCAAGACAGATCGAGGAGATGCGAGAGTCGACGACCCAGCTTCCTTGGGCAGGCGGCGATTCGGAACTACAGACGCTCATCAACGAGGATCTCGCGCGGGAAAACGCGCGGCTGCGGGGAGTGGAGCGCGACACGCGGGAGAACGTGGCCCAGTTGCAAGAGGCCGCAGCCGGATTCGAGGTCCAGCGGGGAAGGAATGCCGATCTCATGCGCGACAACGAGCGATTACAGGCCACCGCGCGTCGAGTGCAGGCCAATCTGGACACCCAGCAGCAGCAGGTTGCGCAGCTGACACGAGAACTGGAAAGATACAAATCGAACGCGAGGACTTCCGCGCCTGCCAGAGCAGGCCCGAGTCGAGAGGCGGATGTTCCACCACCTGCGTACGAGGAATTGGACTTGAACGGGATTGTTTGATGGATCTGTGTATTATCATCTCAAGTAAATGTATTCGATCCATTTCTACTGCCATCTTTCCTACAGAGCGAGAGAAGAACGCGCTTCGACTCGTCATCCGACGGATGGTTCGATAGTCAGATCAACCAATGTGCCTCTGAGCGCATCGAGGAACGGTGGATGTGGATCTTCGACCGATGCCGCCAGAGAGAAGCAGAGGTCTGGTGAGGTAAGGATTTGTTGTCATCAACGCTCACTGATGGACGTTACTATCATGCGTCACATTTTGAGCAGGCAAAATGGAGACATATGGTCTCCGCCAACAAGGTTCGAGAGCGCATCACATGTCGTGGACTGTCCCTGCATCAACGGTGTACATCGAGTCTAAACGAAACACAAACATTCTAGAACCAAGCGAGATCTAAGAATGCGAATCGTTTCTGGGGATGGAACGGCCGAGAGCTTCAACGGCATCATGTAAAACAGCCGTAATCGCACTTCTGGCCGCAGCGTCGGTCCCATCACCAGTCGCACGCAAGGCCTCGAGCGCGGCGAGATCTATCGGCTGCCCGAAAACGACGCCCAGTTGCGTGCCCGGCCGCGGAAGATATTTATACGGAAATGCGCGACCCTCGGGCATGAGGTGCTCAAATCCGCTGAGCCACATGGGTAGGATGACGGGGAGCGCGGAGACTTCCATCAGGACACGTCCGCTATCGAAAACAAATGAGCCCATGAGAGTCTGATCATGAGTCCGATGAAGGCTCACTGACACGCCCCATTTGAACCGCGGCAGCTGTAACAGTCCATCATCGTTTACGGGATAGTGCTGATGGATCTTTCCCTCGCTGAAGAAGTGGACCTGTTGGAGACATTGGGTGAGAAGATAGTCCAGGAGTGGGATGGGCGCACCCACCCAATTCCCTTGGTTGAGCTTCCGGATTGCGGCATCAACGGACGGCTGGTAGATGCCCATCCCGCGGAAGGTCTCGAGCACGTTTCCGTGGCGAAAAAAGGCAGAGAAGAGGCTTCAGAGGGCAAGGCACATGAATGAGAACTCAAATGACGCGTGTCGAAACGCGTAGCTCACGGATTAGTGAACATGACGTCCGACGCGCCGAGCGTCCAGCGGGTGGTTCGACGCTTCAGAAAGTATTTCGTTGGGATGGCACCCCATACGAGGGGATCATCAAGACTGCGGAGATTCGGATGGTTGCCTCACAGCTTGAACAGAGACAAGGCAGTACACACGTCGAGATGTGATTTGCAACTGCGATCAAGTCCCGGGTGAGCCAAATCAATGCAAAGAGCTGGAAAACCTACCTGTAATTACACCGTTCGAGCGCGAACCCTCGAGAGCAGCCTCAAGGTGCGGAAGCCCGCGTACGGACGCGGGACATATCGTCTTCAGAGCGGCCTTGCACGTCAGCTGTGCCACCAAAGGGAGCAGCATAGTGACCTCGCAGATCCAAATAAAGCCACACTTCGAGCTTAGTCATTGCCCCAAGATAAAGTCTCGTCTCACTCACGTCCAACTGTACGAGTTGACGACGGCCAGCAGGCGCCATGCTGGCCCAACTTCCGGCTTTCCTCCCATGGCTCGCTGCCCTCACGATGGTTTATGTCTTCATGTGGTTCTCTGTCTGGTCGGCCGATGACGGTCTTGACGCTCACGAGTCCGGTCTTGCCCTGGTTGCATCCCGTGCGCACCCTCTCTCCGTCCGCCCCTTCAACTTGCCTTGCTCAACATAACCCTTCTTTCCCTCCACAGGCAATCCGTTCAGAGAGCAAGGTCCCCCGGCCAACATGGCCAAGCTCATCCTTCTACGACACAAGGTGTGTGGGGAAGCATGCGCCGAAGCTTCCAAAGCCTGATGCAAGACCTTCTCTTCTTGCAGATTCAGACATCCACAAAAAGACGTCGGAGCCCCTCACAAGTCCGCCAACCCCACCGAGCCTGTCATCTCAGCCAACCCATCGTCCCCCGTCAACCCTCACCATGGGTGCGCTTCCCCAAAGCGGCCTTCGGCGGAAAACAATACCACTAGTTCTATCATTATTGCCGCCCCCTTTCGCATGCTATAATACCCACTGCTGTCTTTCTTCTTAACGGCACCTTTTGCTTTGGTGTTTGGGATATAATGCTTGTTTGCCTTGAATCACAGTTGTAAAATACAGTGCTAGATGAATCACAAAACAAATACCACAACATTGTCGACTGCCCTAATCAAAGCGGGCGCTTCGTTCGACAGCGACCTGCTTCAAGATACCGGATCCCTTGGGTTTCCGCCGCTCCTGAGCTGCAGCCACCGCCGCTTGCGCTGCACTACCCCTCACAGATCCACCACCAGCTTTGGTACGTTGTCCAATGACGGTCGTCCGCCCAGAAACATGCCCAGTCCCAGCATTCCCTGCGCGTTTCTCGCTCCTCGCCCACTGCTGCATCCGGAGGTCTTGTTGGCTCTTATGGTCTGACATCGCATGATGACCCTAGCATGATATCAACATCACGTCATTCGACACGATCACATGACCATTACCTCGCGTTTCGCGACCACTTTCACTCTCGGCTGATCTTCGTCCGAGTCGTGATCGACCCATGATACGTCCTCCACGTCCATTTCCGGCTGTGACGCGCGTCAGCGGATTCGGTAATGGCATGCTTACAGGGATCGCTTACAGCGTCGTGCAGGTCCTCGTTGTCCTTGAGCTCACGGATTCGTTGCACGATTTCGCTCCGCGAGACCGTTTCTCGGCTGTCCTCCTCCTCTTCATCCAGAGTCATAGCCATATCGCTGTCCGGAACTGCGTTTTGGAGATACGCAAGGTCGGCATCATCACCAAAAATCAAGTCGTTCTTGTAGACTTGTGCGAAAGCATTCGTCTGCGGATTGTTGGCTGGAACAACTGGTCAGAAATTGTCAGAGGAAGCACAGCAGCACGAATTACCCAATTCAGTTACGTCACCCCGGACGATGACTGGCTCATTACCCAACCCTCTTCTCATCTTGCGAGCTCTCAGATCGTCCTCCTCGTCTTCACTGTCGCTGTCATCGACACCCAGACGGTTCCTCCGTTTCTTCTTCCTCAACTCTCCTTGTACAGCAGCTTGGTGGAGCTTCTCGATCTCTAGATCGTCTTCGTGGATCTGCTCCTGGTACTTTTCCATCACCAGATTTTCCGACACCTTCACCTCTCCGTCATCCACGAGCGTCTCAAGAGTCTGGTCCAAATCCTCGTTGTTCTCGTCTTCCTCCGGATCATCGGATTTACGGCCGAATCCAAATGCAGCAGCCATCTCATCCTCATCGGACTCTTGAGCCTCTTCGAATACAAACTCTGACTTTTCAAGCGGTTTCCTAGGTTTCCGGGCTGCTTTGACCTTCGCAATGGGCGACACTGGTGCTGGTGATGGCGAAGGCGTTCGAGTTCGGGTCCGCCTTAGCAAACGGCGTCGAGGAGAAGGCCCTGGGGGGCTATCGAACTGGGAAGGTTCGACGAGCGACAATGTGCTGAGGGGTCTCCGCAGCTGAGTCATGGAAACGCTCGGCTGAGGTGGCAGTGGATCTGGAGAGGAAGGCCGGTAGAGCTCAGCTTCATCATCAGGCTTAGTCTGTGTCAGAAATCTGGGAAAGCGACGATCGGCATATGGCAAGTAAAAAAGATAGAACGACGCACCCGTGGGCATTGATGTACAACTCTTTCTCTTCTGGGCCCTGTTTCTTGTGCACGGCCTCCACCAGATATTCCTGCTCCTTCTCAAAAATATCACCAGCTTGGCGTCGGAATTGTTCGTCGACGTTCCTGATCAAATCCCCATTTAGCTCCACGTCTTGTGTCAGATCTAAAGCGAGTCCAGGACCCCTTCGAAGCGCCGCGAAACTGGCAGGCTGGAGGCACCGATGAGCAAGTCTGCGTCGGAAAGTTCTGAAAGATCTCGCACCTTCAACGACCTCTTGCCCTGCGTGCCATCGTCAAAGATATCCGAGAACCCAGGTCTCAAAACATCCTGATCATCCGAGAACTGAGAAAACGCTGCTGTCTTCGCTATTCCAAGAGGCCGGACGCTGGGCTGAGGGGACAATTGACTGTTACCGGGATCGCTCTCGCGCTGGGAAGATCGCTGCAGCTGCGCAGTGAAGTCGAGTGCGCCAACGGACAGGCCCATTGACAGAGGTCTTCTCCGGCTCATGAGAGCGTCATCGTCTTCTTCAACATCGGTGTCAACGCGTTCATGCTGGCTGGGAGACATTGAAAGACTCCTCTGCATGCCCTCTTCGAGTCCAAACAGCGAGCTGTGCCGTGAAAGAGGCCCAGGGCGGTCACCGAGTGGTCGACGAGTGATGGAAAGGACCACGTTCTCCTTGTCTTCATTGATGGCGACCATATTCTCCTTGTCTTCATTCAGCTCATCCATGTTCTCCTTGTCCTCGTTCTCTTCGTCTTCGCTGTCCGATAGAATAGGCTGGGGTCGACGGGTCATCACACGATTCAGCATGGGGCTGTTCTCGTCGTTTTCGTCGTTCTCATTTTCTTCATTCTCGTTCTCGTCATTCTCGCTATCATCTTCGTCCTCGTCGTCGACCATCGTAGTATCGGGATCTTCCATGAAAGACGACTCTGGCCTCTCCTCGGTCCAGTCTTCATCGCTCGCGTCGTCCGACAGGTCTTCGCGATCCAGATGCATCCTCGCCTCTGCATTCCTCTGCCCTTTCTCAGCAATCGCCTGAATGGCTCCTCTCATCGAGCTATCCCCATCAGCACCAACGACCGGAGCGACCTGCCCACCCCGCCTCTGCCACTCCTCCTCCTTTCGCGTCGTCTCTTGCCTATTATTCTCTGTCACTCGAGCCTTGAGTAACGCATTCAATTCCGCTTCGGTCTTGGCAGCGGCGAAGGACTGCGGCTGGGACTTGTGTTGATGCGCTCGTTGCACGGACGGTGTGATCCCGCTTAGTGCCAACTGTTGTCGAACTCCGATGGACTGTCGGTGTCGATTGTCACTGTGCTGCCGAACGTTGCCGTCCAGCCTGCCATTCGGCACAATCTCCAGTTCGTCGTCATCGTCCGATACGTCGACTGCAGCGCGTTTCTGGGCCAGCGCTGCGAGTTGCAGCTTCCGTTCCATCAGTTCACGCTGATGTTGCTCGTGCGCCTGCTTTTGTTTGAGATGCGCGTGGATCGTGCTGACCTCGGGCAAGTCTTCGCCGTCTTCGTCGAGCACAGGCATTGGGTCTATGGCAGATCGGGTTGGGCTCGGAGCTGGTGGAAGCATCGCCTCTTCATCTGCCTCTGGGCGAACGGGGGTAGCCGCAACCCGCGTCACGTTCGGTGAAGAAGAGAACGCTGTGATGGGATCATCCATTGACATCGTTGTCCCAAGCGGAGGCTTACTGCACAGATCATGTCAGAGCTTTAGCACTATGACTGCCTGAGAGACTTACTGGAGCGTTTGGAAAAATTGCCTCAAAGTCTTATTGGTACCAGGCATAGAGGTTTGTAGCGCAGCTTGACGCATGCCAGCGATCCGGCTGCGGTCACGAGCTGTATCTTGTATCTCTTTCTTGGACACTGCCTGGAAGAAAATTTAGTCAAGATCGAAAGAGCGAGAGGCAGAGACTGACTTTGACTTTCGGCCCGCTGGCCCTTCGTTTCAGAGTCGATTCGGGGATTTCCGTGAATCTCAGAGGATGAACCTGACCTCTGGACGAAGAGGTTTGCTTGCTCTTGCCTTTGCTCGATCGAGGTTGAAGTGTGATGTTCGCTGGAAGATCCTCATCACCCGAAGTTGGAGGTGTCGAGGATCGACGTGGTTTACTGGCAGAGGAGTCCGCAGTGGGGGCCAGAGGAGATGTCCCCTTGCTGCCATTGTCTGATTCTTCATCGGAATCGACCATGGTGGGGCGCCGTTTGGCCACCGGGCCTTGACGGCGTTTAGGAATGGCAGGAGGAGGTGACGCTGACACCGAGCGAATCGTTGATAGCGATTCGCCCAGTGCATTCGTAGTAGAATTTGCGCGGAAGATAGGCGAGTTCGGTTGTGTTGGGATTGCTTCATCGATTTCCGGAGGCGTCGGCGCTTGGAGCGCGGCCGACGCGTTCCCGAACTTCAATGTGGGTGTCACAAGCGCGCTCGACTCTTCAGCATCCTCCATATCATCGAAATCCTTCATCCTCGCCTTCCAGCCAAAATCTAACATGGGCAACGCGTCATTGGTCCCGGCGTGGCTTCCTTCGTCATCGGACGTAGCCACGTCAGAGTGTGTCGTGTCCAGGGTAGCTACAAAACATCTATGAGTGTCGTATGGGCACAGAAAATTCGGCCATATGTATTACCTTTTGTTTTCGTGGAAATCGGTACGCTTGGTCCACTCTCGTCGAAGACAGGCGCCGATACATCTGGCTTGGGCCTACCATACGTCCGTACGACTTTGATGGGTGGCAGATTTGACATAAATCTAAGCACTGCGGTAAATAATTGGGAGAGAGTGGAAGAAAGGGTGTAGATGGAAAGCAGGCCAAGGAAAACGCTCTGGCGCTGCAGTCGAGTGTGGTTGGTTGTTGAGGAAAGTCACAGTCACGCGTTACTATACGCGTTCAACCCTAACCTAGCCTTCATCTCATGCCATCATTCCTCCTGTCCTACACTAACGCACGCCCAGTAGGCTCAGCGTTCAGCCTTCTTAGAGCCTGCTTGGAGTTCGGACCTGCAGCCTAAGCACCTTAACCGCAACCCCTCTTCACCCGACCGCTTTCTTGTGGAACTGAATAACGATGTCGGACGAGGAACGACGACCGTTGATAGGTCCGTCGGCGACCACTGTTATCAATTTCCTGCACTCACCTACTCTTGAAAGACCTGGAGAATAACGTTGTTCGTCATGTACAGAGCGTCTGGTCCGGCTTGAAAGGTCATAACCACTTCTTCCACGCTCATCTGTGCCATGATACGACTCGCGTGCGGCAGGTTTCTTGGGACGCGACAATGTCCTCGAAGTTGCAGTCGGTCTCATTATGGCTGGCGGCTTCTCGAAACTCGTCAACTCCTTCATATCCGATGTTCTTCTGCCCCCGATCTCGTTGTTGCCTTTCCTTGGAAGAAATCTGCCTGCTAAATTTGCTGTCCTCCGCTCTGGCCCCAATCCGCCGTATAATACAGTCGAACAAGCTACTGAAGATGGTTTGTTATCCACTCGCTAAGAATTCCCCGTCGATTCTTATCTCAGGACAGGCGCCATAACTCTTGCTTGGGGTGCTTTTCTGGACAACCTGATAACTTTCTTTGCACTAGGTGCTGTTCTATACACTTACGCTCAATTATACGCCATCTTCACCAAAGAGTCCATCATCAAACACATTGTGAAATGCAAATATTGTCGCAAGGATATATCCGCAAGTGTATGTATTTCTGCAGCACAACTTTCAAACTTCTAAACAAAGTATTCCAGGCTAAACGCTGTGCTTTCTGCACTAGCTGGACTGATGGTCGAGATGAGAAGCAGGCTCAGCCAACTCACAGTGATCACCCTCTTGATTCGTAACGTGCGGCATGCGGACATGATAATCTTTTGGATATTGACTGGATGTACTCATTGGACCCTGCTTTCGCGATATTTATTTCGACTCGCCGTGGCCATTTGAACATTGAAAATAATGATATCGACGATTTTCTCGGGATACCGAAATGGGAAAAAGATTCTGGCTAGCTCAGCTATCCCGAGTAGCCTTGTATTCATCGATCCACTTCTTCTCTGCATCTCCTTTGGGCAGCACAACGAAAGTCAGACACCCGTCTTTCAGCTCGAGTCCATCCTTGAGCTCGCCCTCCTTCTCTTTTGCGGCTGTGCACACTTCTCGAAGCGACATCTTCTTGCCCACCTTCAACAACCGTTTCCTTCGCGTCATCGCGTACACAGCCAACTTCCCATCCACATATTCGTGCTTCGTGTCCCAAGCTGGCGGCGGTGCTTGGGGTGGAAACATGACTGCTAGATGACTGGAGAACGGCGTGTCTTCGACGAATTCAGGTATTATGTCGGATGTCGCGTATTGAGGATAGAGGAAGAACACGGGGATGATCAACGACGTCCCCGTTGGATCCTCGGGATCAAAATGAGGTTCGTATGGATTATCAAGATCGTCTTTCTTCTTCAGCACGATCAGATTCCGTTCCTAGGATGTGTGAATACCTAGCCGGACATATGCAGCCGAACACGGCACACCTTGAAAGCAGCGAGCATCTTGTACCTCGCCTCTTGCTCCTTTCGCAAACGTTCTTGCTTCTCTCTCTCTTTCTTTTCCTTCGCGTCCCTTCTTGCTCTGTGCCTGTGCACGCACGGACTGCACGCCCTTGTTTTCAGAGTCGAACTGCAGACATCGGTCGCAGCGTCAATCGCCTCCTCTGCCCTATCAAGGGCCACCAGCGCAAGAGCTGAGCGGTAGTACGCTTTCGAAGAACGCGCGTTGAGAGTGATAGCCTTGGAGCAGTCGCGCAGGACTGAGCCGTAATTTTCTTCGGTCGCGCGTCAGATTAGATTGTCGACATCATCATCCAACCCAGCACTTGCTTAGTTCCAGATTCGCAGCAGCTCGGTTGCAGAGCAGGGCTTCATGCAGGACGGGATCGGTAGGTTTTTGCATCGATCCCCTGTTGTAGACCCTTGAGCTTCACGATATCGCCGGCCCTTGAAGTAGTCATTCCCTTGATCCTTGAATTTCGGCCACCTCTGCAGAGAGTCA